CTGCCTTTCATGAACCCATGCTGGCTGGGCCCGATCCCCTCTTTGACAACAAGCTTGTTGAGCATATTCAAGATGAGCCACTCCATAATCTTCCCCGGCACCAAGGTCAGGCTGACAGGCCTGTAGTTCCCCGGGTCCTCTTTTTGGCCCTTCTTGTAGATGGGCGTCTCATTTGCAAGCCTCCAGTCATCAGGGACCTCCCCTGTTAACCAGGACTGATGATAGATGATGGAAAGATCAAGTAATTCTCATAATCATCCTAAGGAAACACGTTGAAGTAATTATAATTATTTGTCTGATCTGTCCAGGAGATAATGCAGTTAGAATACAGTTATATTATACATGAGACTATGCCTGTAACTTTTAGGGTAAACAAGGCCACTGCCCTGTACAGATCTTAGTTCAGGACTTGCAATGAAGAGACCGGATAGTAGAAAAGATTAATCGCAGGACTGCATAAGATTCAAGGTTGCGGTCTGAATGAAAGTAAGTGCCTTACTGGTCGGGGCCTTTTAAGAACCATATTGCCATTTTACTTCAAAAACACTTAAGGGTGTTCACTCCTCTTGAGTTTCATCTTTTGATCTGGCACCATCTATATTGACAATATTATTGGGGGGAATTGAAGGCAAGTTTGCATCAGATATATAAATCCAAGCTGGTTATATTGTGTTTGATCTTGAAGTATTTCATAGAACTAAGGCAACTTTACCACTATGCTTATGCCGTTATCTGGAGTAAATTGGTATGTCCACTCTAGGAGCTACATTGATTTTAGCGATACAGTTATTCAAATTGATCAAATTAATCATAAATTATGGTGTAAGACATGAGTGTCCCTGTCTTTTCTTTCCCTTTTACTTTGTGCTGCAGGACAGTATATATGCTAGCTCACATTCTGGCATGTTAGCAGAACCTGTTTGTTTTGAGAGCTGAATGTAGGTTTAAGCCTACTCGTTCAGTTTTAGGTGCACCTCTACTTCTGTCAGTTCGCTATAAATGTGAAAGCCTGTGGCAGAAGGGCTGGGCAGGCAGCTGGGGGAATTGATGTCTCAAATTAACCCAGATAAATGTATTGGAGTTTGTTCGAGTCTTATAGCTCCTGTTATATTAGCACAGAAATATTAGAAAGTCCCTTAAACCTCAAGGCCATCTCACTTCTGGTATGTGCACCTGTGAGGATAGCTGTCTTTATGGGTGTTTAACAATAAGGCTAAAGGGGCTAGTGCCCTCCCTGTTGTGCAATTATACCTACGGAGAAACATGGGTTAATATATGTATTTATGTGTCATGCGTAGAAACCTTGTATATACCTGGACTTGCCTCTACTGGTCGTTGAAATTCCTACTACACAAGCAAAAAAACCAAGCACAAACCAAACACCATCCCCTACCCTCCACAAAACCACCCACAGTAATTGAAACTTTGAAAACTGGAAGTAAAAATTAGTTTTAAATCGTTTGATGCCACATGTCTCTAGAAGTAGTTTCTGGGTTAACTGGCTACCATTTTTCTCTTTCTCTCTGGATTTTCAGAAAATCATTGCTTCATTTGAATGCTTTTTCTACTGTGTTTCTTCTCTTGCTTCTGAGAAGTACTTTGTGTGTGATTTTGGAGGTTTTGATTCTTGTGAACCAAATGGATTAAGGATTCTTCCAGAGCTATCTCACCCCTTACAAGATAATATGATGATTCTGCTCTACTAAGAGCCAAAGAAAACATTAGGTTAAGAGGGAGCAATGGGACTAGAGATTACAGCAGGATAGAAAAAGAGGTATGAGAAATAAATGCAAGTGACACAGTAGTTTCAGGAATTCAAAATGAGCTTGTGTTTCTACCACTCTCTGTGCTTTTCGTGATCTTGCAATTGAAACATTTGAAGTAAGTATTTCTGAAAATGGTTTAAAAGGAGAATATATAATTTCTTTAGGTAAGATATTTCATGACCAGCTTGGATTTGTTCTTAAACAGGCTCTTCAGTTCCCCCAGTAATATTTAAAATTTGTGTACTTTACGGTCATGACTGTCCATTCAGCCATCACCATTAAGTATCTTTAACATTGGCGTTTGTGGTAAGTCAGAGAGGGAACCCACGTGCTATGTATCTAGATTTTCTCTACATCTACAAGTCCTCTCGTATGGGTAGAAAACCATTTGTTCATTCCTCCATCAATTTATATTGGAAAACAAAGTGAAGAGTCTTGCTTTCAAACATCCTCTACATAATTTACTGTCATCCATATTTATCAGTTGGTGTAATGTAGTAAAGAGCATGAACATTATTGTCTGCTTTACCTCAATGAAAGGGGTCTTCTGATGCTTTCATGTGAGAATCTGATTGCTGTGTTTACAGAGAAGGTTCACAGCCTTCAGAGAAGGATTAGAGTTCAGCAGCAATCATGTAATGTTTTCTCTTCTTTTTGTAATTCTGTTCATGTGAGTGTGGGGGAACTTCCCAAAGCATACTGAGTTGAAGACATGCTAAATGCTAGTGAAATTTGAGGACGCAAAAGCAAAACGTTTAAAAGGATAAGGCCTTAATCAGACACTCTGTGTGTTTAGGGACATTTTTCCTTAAACAAGTGTGTGATTCTATGGATGTGAGTGCCTACATGTGGTGAGAAGCTTTGCATTTAATGCTCGTATTCTCTCAACTTAATATCACTCCACTGAACCAGTATTTTAAAAAAAAAATCAACGAGATATCAGGCATTTAGAAAGACAGAATTAGTTGCTATTAAAAAAAAAGTTATATATTATCAAAGAATTACTGTTTTAACTTCATTTTGGCATTTAGGCATCATCAAGAGATAATTATCCTTAAAAATATTTTATCATAATGACAACTCTTAAACAGAACTCCCTAATGTACTATCAAAGAGGAATATTATGTATTCCATTTCCCATTCATAAATTTAAAATGTGCTCTCTACCTGCAGTTATAGTTTTTGTTGATACTCTCGCCATGCGGAATCCCTGAAAAACATAAAAGTGTGATGAGGTGAGTTAAAACCAAGCAATAATAGCAAGGTCAAAAACAAATGGGGTGAAAAAACCCCAACTCACTCTTCTTTCCAAGACAGAAATTTGGGAAGATTCCTTTTAAGAGGAGTGTATGCTGATGTGTTGCAAATTGCCTGGGACTGGTTGGCAAGGCTTTATCTATCAGCAGAAATACAATAATCTTTATAGGATGGACATTAAGACTACCTTGTCTGAAGTGAGTAAAATAATTTTGGCAGGTAATAGAGTTTATGCTTAACACTTCAGATTCATATGTTGTTTTCTTCTGTGTTTTTTTTCTCAAAATACATAGGCATTTCAGTAGGACTATGGAGGAGCTGGTTCACGATCTAGTCTCAGCACTGGAAGAAAGTTCAGAGCAAGCCAGAGGAGGTTTTGCTGATACTGGAGATCATTCTCGAAGTGTGTCCTGTCTTCTAAAGCGACAGGCAAGGAAAAGGAGGGGACGAAAAAGACGTTCATTTACCACCCATCATCCCTGGGAGACTGGTCACTGCTTAAGTGAAGGTTCTGATTCCAGTTTAGAAGAATCAAACAAAGACTACAGGGATAATCATGCTAATAAGAAAGACCACAGTGACTCTGATGACCAGTTGTTGGTTGCTAAACGTAGGCCTTCCTCAAACTTAAATAACATTAGAGGCAAAAGACCTCTGTGGCATGAACCAGATTTGGCTGTTGACAGTTTGGGAAACAGAACTTTGCGCAGGAGAAGAAAGGTAAAACGAATGGCAATAGACCTGCCGTCAGAAGTGTCTAATGCACGGACAATAACTCAACAGCAGGATAACAGCAGAGATCAAGAAATGGATGATGACAATAGATCATACCAACACCAAGAGATTTCTAAGAGCAAAGTGAAAAAAAGAAAAGTAGCTGCAGCTCGACAAGGACCGGAAATCTTGGATGAAGGAGTAGTTATAGAAAATGAAGAAGTGAGTCAAGCAAATAAGGACAAAATGGAGTATGAGGAGCAAAAAGGCTCCGATGAGAACATGAGTGACAGGTTATTCTTTCTCTTCTTTTTTACAGAAACTTCGGATAATATTTGTTTGCTTTTATTACTGTTGATTGTATTGGGAATCTTTGTATTTTTCTTTAATTCCAGATTTAAAATGCTGGCAGGAATAGTATCTGTTTTAACAAGTCACTTTTTTTTTTAAAGTCCACTATTTTTAATATATATGAGTTGATCAGGTTAAGGAATTCAATATAAAATAGAGAGTCATGTAGCAGAGGAATAACCAAGAAAACAGTTTCTTGAAATAATACATTCAAACTGCTTCAAGATTAAGAATGACAAAATATACAAATGATTAATATGTTTTTTTCTGGGTATTTCAACTGGTGACAGTTCTCAGACAAAAATTAAGGTTTTTTTTCCAATTTCTAGACTTTGGTGCTTTGATTGTTATCTCTCTTCATCAGAAAGGTTGTCAGTGTTTAGAGTCACCATTTAGACAGTATGTTCTTATGTGTCATGGGCATAAAAAGTCTGCAGGTTGCCAAGGATATACATCATTTACGAAATGCAAAAACCAATTTACAGTTCAGAAACACCTGAGCTTACCATTAGAAAAATGGAGGAATGATGACCCTTTGGCAGTACACCTCATCCATCCATTCCAGACAGCAGTCATACTATAATGGTAATTGTTTCCAAAGTACTATTTTGACAACACAGTAAGGTGTAAGTCATTTTTCCACCATACACAAGGGATGTTACCTGCAGGGCCTGGTAAGCTTGATTATGTTTATCCCATGTGCCTGGTTCTGAATGCAGAACTGTCAACAAGAAAGGCTTATACTAAACTACATAATTTTGGTCAGTTGCTTGACAGCACTAGTATCCCTGGGTTTTTTGTAGGCATTTTATCTATAAACTGTTAAGCCTTTTCCTTACTGAAGAGGTAAAAGTTAGATCCAGAGAGTACCCAGGGGTTTTGATCAGAGCAGACAGATTGGTTACTGTAATAACAGCAGTATTAGTAAGTGACCAACTCCAGTTATTGTTGGATAAGTTCTTGTAAGTCATTTTATTACGTGCTAGTTTTGTCCCTCACCTGTGCACAATAAGTAGCTGAAAGAGCAATATGAATCATGAGTCTTAAAGATTGTTACTAATTTCTTAATTACCAGAGCAGGAGCAGTCCTTTAAGGCAGCCACTTTAACTTCAGACATCTCACTTCGACATGACAGACAGGAGTGTGTGTTGTCAGGAAGCCTTTAGAAAACTTCCTTCTTCTTTGATGATACCGGGAATCTGTTCCTCCAAGTTTGGTACCTAAGGACAGATGGTTAAAAATTTCCTTAGAGCTAGGAACCATTGCATATTTTACATGTCCGTATTCTTGGCGCTTTTTTATGTATAACAGATTTTCTGTTATGCTACAAGGGTAACAGTTCTCCAACTCAAAAATTCTGTATCTAATTTTTGGGTGGAGAGAAGAGTGATCAATGCAAAAATCCTCTTGTAGACTCCCAAAACTGTGCTACCTCCAGGTCAGTCTGAATATCTTTTTATTTTTTCACAAAAGAAACATTGATTTTAAAAATCATCTTCCTCTTCAAAATGCTTAATGTTTTGTTACACTGAATGCTGTCATTTTTCAAATCGTACTTCAAATGTTTATCTCTGGCCCCAATAAATGGCCTTTAAAGCCATTCTCATCTTCATTCTCATGAGAAGATTCTCATCTTCTGCTCGTGCACATCATTGCGTGATGGTCTGTCATTCTACCGAATTTCTTGCAGTGGTCATCTGTACTAAAAGGTTTGGAAACCAGAGGATTAGAAAATTTGCGTTCCATAATGTGATTAAAAATCCACCATATCTAAGCCTCTCAGGTGCATACTGTATCTGAATATTTTGTATGTGAATAATTTTAACTGGTTTTAAACTAGCTTTACTTAAATGCAATAGTGCCTCTATTGTTTGAGAACATTTAGCCAGAAGATTCAGAAACAACTAGCCAACTCTGTTCCTAAGAATATATTCTAAAAGTAAAAGCTGATATTTTAAAAGGGAACATGAGTTTTGTAAGATTGCACAAGATATGGAGAGATAACAAAGCGTATTGATAAGACTCATGCTTCAGCAACACTTGTTGGAAGGGGCAAAATAAAAAGTATACAAAGCTTCTCTAATCTCGTACATTTGTGTGCATACAGCTTAATTATTCCAAAAAAAAGAGATTAATCTCTTAGAAGTTCAGTTTTTAAAAACAAAGCAAAGCCATTAATTTTTAACGGGAGTTAAATTGCTTGGATCTAAAACTGGTGAGGAGAAGTTTTCAGTGTATACATGAAATTACTTTAAAATAACATAACATATATTTGAAGCACACATTAAAACTGCTAAGTGGCACTTCTTTTGCACTTTTATCTGTGTGTGTTCAAACACCAAACACAACAATAACCCTTTAAGTGTAGGGTTCAGGAGTAGTAGTAGGAGTCTTCAAGCTCTTAAAATGTCAGCATCTAAAGGATCCCAAAGATAAATTCCTGTGAGGTTGGTTTTGAGCATGGGAAATTAGATTTTCATGATCAGAGTCTGTTGTTTGCTCATTCTTTATCCTCAATGCTTAGCACCTTGGCCAGTTTCAGCCAAATTTGCCAATGCATGGAGTTCTGGATAATATTTAATTCCTGCAAGCTTTCACAATTGTTTGCATTTTAGGTGACTAAATAGAGGATAAATCTCAATTGCCCCTTTTGAAAGAGAGCAGCAGTGAAACTCGGACCTTTAATAATGCCAGAGACGCCCACCCACCAGCCTGGCAGTCAGTGCGAGTACAGTAGCTGGTCAGTTCTTGGGGACAGGCTTGGTTAGTAAACAAAGGTCACAAGTCTCTTATGAAACCAAGGTATGGGACAGTCTGCTACTAATAGTAACTAATAATAAAACTTATTTCTTCTTTGTTTCCACAAATGTGTAAGTAAAGCTGTGAAAGCGTTTTGGGTAGCAGAGCTGTTCCTTCCAAGTTTTTGCTTGCCTACCCTATTTTATAGGACTAAAAGGAATCTGCGGCCTTTTTTCTTTTTCCTGGAAGTCTTGCTGGGAGCAGAATTCTCATTACAAAGCCAAGGAATTAGCAATATACAGTGCAAAATTATATTAAAACTGGAAATAAATTCCATCATAACAGCTTTCATGTACTTAGATATTAATGTATTAATTCCAGAGGTCTTGAATTTATTCAGTGAAATGACTGCCATGTAGCAATTATCTCAGCTGTAATCCCTCCCTTATTTGACTGTGGTCTGAGGAGAATGAACACTGTGGCTGCCATGGATATACCAGTGTTATGGTTTGTTTTTTTTTTTTTTTAAAAAAAACCCAAAACATTATTATGTGTCATTTCGAAAATTTCAGGTGGTTATGTTTTCATGAACTAGCTAGTCCTTTGGTAAGAATTATTGCACAATTAAAATATATTTTTTAAAAAAATAAAAAAAAAAAAGGAGACTTTTCAAAATTGAAAATTTTGGTGGGGAAAGTGGCTGAAATACTGAGGTTGAAAGGATTTCATAACTTTTATTTTAAAATAAAAAAATGAATAGGAAGAATCTGTGAAAAGGGGATGTTTTTTCTTGGAGATGTATGATGTAAAATTGTGCACAATGAAATGTAAGGACAGAAAAGCCATCTGTGTTGTAAGTGAAGTGAGGATGGATGCTTGCTAGAAAGAAGTTACTAGCATTTGCAACACTAGGATGTTCAAATTTTGGTCTCCCCCATGAAAGATGGTTCTGTTCTCATTGCATGCTTGTCATCTTTCTTCTGCTTAGGGCAGTTGTGCAAGTGCTTAAGTCTGTTCTGACTATATTACGTGTAAAATATGATGTAAGTATTGCTTATACAGTAAGAATATGGAAAAGCAAAAGATACAGCAAAAATTAAGAAAACTTGATCTTTAAACACAGAGCTGTATATGTATTTTTTAAAAAAATCACTGCTTTGTGTCTCCTGATACCATATTGTGTTTCAAATCCTCCCAGAGGAAGATACAAAAAAAAAGTATGTACTTGTTAAACACAAATTAGAATGATTTTATATAATCCACATTACAAGCTTTAAAAAAATTGAGGCTTATTTTTGTGAGAGGAAGGAAATAATTTTCTGAAGTGTGCTAGTTATTTAGAAAAAAGAAAACTAATTTATTATTAGAAAGTAAAAATAATTGAAACCAGTTGAATTCGAGTATAGGACTGCATGTATGTTTTAATATGAATAAGTGTAGAAAAGTAAACAGACCTCAAGTTCTTATAAATACCTTGTATGGAACATTGAGAGTAGCTGTAGTATTTATAACTTGTACTTGAATTTGTGTGGAGAAGTGATTTCCCCCCCCCCCCCCAAAAAACAAAAAAAAACACACAT